CTAATATTACCATTACCATCAACATGTCACAATTTCTGTTGATTCCTGCATTTGTCACTCACAGAAAAAAAATGTTCCTTTCTGTGTTAAACTTTGAGTTATTATCTGTACAGGTTGTTAAATTTTGTCATCTGTTTAATTTTGACATCTCCATTGTGTAACTCACATCTTGGGTTGTCCCTTTTGCTCACCTCTCTGCTTTCCATCATCTTAAACATAATATCCAATCCTTTCTTCTTGCTTTCAAAATTGATGCATTTTCCTCTCATTGCTTTTGATTGCATTTGCTGCTAAGTGCTTCGTATTTACATCAAGTAAGTTGCTAACTTTTCTGTCAACATCTTTATTGTGTTTGGAGAGTAAAGGAGATAAAGAAATAAGAAGAAAATAAAACTGTAAAAAAACGTCAATATTTATAAACAAATTCTCTATGAATGTATTTATTGACATTTGAGAAATGTAAATCATTTTAGACAACCCACAGGGTATATTCATTGATTTTCTTTTTTACTGTTTTTGTTTTTCCTTTCCTGCAAAGTACTACTTGATAGGTTCGTCTGTGGTGTTACATAAAATGTGATATTCCTAAGTGAAAATGGAAGCAGAAACATTCCAATTAAGGCAGGGAAAGATCTTTTCACCAATTCTCAATTCTCATTATTTGCCTGGGTGGTGTGTAGAAAATGGTAAATTTGGGAAAAGCAGCCAACGCAAATACTAAATCAAAGATAAAGTGGATCAGATTTCTGAGCCATGTAATTAAATCTTACCAGGATTTATTATCAGCAGATAGTGTGCTGATGGTGGGCTCAGAATGAAAATTGAAAGAGCTCTTAGATAACTTAGTAAAGGAAAGCAAGAAGAAAGGATTAACTATTAAGTGGAAAGAAAGACAGGATTCTATTAGTTCAATACTGAAATACTTCTGTCAGCCTGCACTTTTCAAAAATCTAAATAATGAAAAAGCATTCTCTGACAGGGATTGAACTTGTGTCCCTCTTTATAGGGGAAACTGATATCAAAGATGCATAGGAATAAAGGAAGATGTCTTACAGAAACTAAGCAAATTATTAAAAATAGGAAAATGTCATTAGAAACAAAGAAAAGTCAGTTGAATTGTGATGAAATATTTAATTTTTTATATGGTGGGGTGAATACTGGACAATCTCTTTATAGATGAAGAGACTTGAAGAGACATGTGTTTTTACTGGTGAATGCTAAGAATACCATAACTGAGCATGTGAGCAATAAACAGGTTTTCCGGAAGCTAAGCAAATTAATAAGAAATATGAAAATAGTGTTAGAAACAAAGACAAATATAGTGAACTGCCATGGAATATTTATGTACTATGATAATGATAATATTAGCCATTTCCTTATAAGGAAACATTCGGCAATCATTTATGGAGAAACCAGTACTGCATTCTGTTGAGATTTATAAAATCTTTCTTTTAAACTGATGCTAACACCCATCTTAAATTACTGGGATACATAACAAGGAAAGAAGGCTTGGATAATTTAACACTCATAGGACATATTGAAGACAAGAGATGTGGCAGGAAATAATGAATAATCTACCTAATGAGTTTGTATAAACAGATTGCAGAACAGAGGATGGGAGGGATAGAAAAAGAACAAATGTTGCTTAGAGTTATAAAGGACAGGAAGCTATGGAGAGCCATAATACCTTGCAAAGGTGCTGCATGCTGGGATCATTTGTTAAACTTGTGACATGTTCTTAAATTACCTTGTCAGATCGAGACTTTCATATGGATGCCATGCATGGCACCAAATACATTCAGAAATATCTAAAGTGTCAGCTGTATACAACTGCTTCCTAAGATCAATGTTGAAAAAAGGCTTTGAGCAAGGAAAGCCTGGGGATCTTGGCAAAGATAATCCTGCTTTGAATATTGTGAGCTGATGCTGCAGAATCACAAAATAACCAAATAACAGAAACCACATCTTTTGAGGACTACCAATAGCAGCAACAACTAAAATGGATAGCACATTTAACTTGAAGAGAAAACAATGTCATTATCAAGATGTTGGTATTCTATATAACTTCAAACAAAAGGTTAAGAAGGAAACCTCTGTCAATACTGGAAAGAGCTATAACAGCTACTGGACTTGAGAAACCTATTTTTCTGAAAAATTGTTTTAAGAGAAAGATTTTATAAATTTCAACTGGCAGCAGTAGAAGTCAATTGATTAATGAATACTAAATGTTTCTTTGTAGGGAAATGGTTACTATTACCATTATCCGTTCCATGATTGCCCTTGTTCTAAAAGGATAAAGCACACAAAGAAGGAGAAATGGGTAGATTTGGATGATTGTTCTTTCTGAGTAGTTATAGCCTAATTATTAAGGCAGTTGCAGTATAAGATGTAATCTCCTGAGGATGGAGATGTGAGTTGAGTCTTGGCTTATTTATTCATTCATTTCTGTTCTACACTACTACCTAAAGGTCATGGGATAACATTTGGGAAGCTGTAATAAAAAGCAACTGAAATTAAGATGCAAGAAATCTATATTATTAAAGAAGAGCTGATTCTCTGTCCATCACACATTGTCTGCATTTGACTTTGCATGCACATATGCAATGTATATGCTTATATTTGTGCTGTGTGTAAATGACTTAAATGTGTTTTTGCCATTGATGTAAATGCAAGCATAACTATGCACACACACACACACACACAAAATAAATTTGATTACGTTTTTAATAAGATATTGGAATAATACATCTCTCTTCCACTCAGTCTGGGCAACTCTACCCTAGGCTGAGCAACAAAATCACAAAGTTGAAGACAAGAAAAAAAGACAACTTGATTTATTAAACCCTAAAAATATCAGATAGATAGAGGATTTTGTTGAAATTTTCTGAAATTGTTTGGAAATAAAACTATTTTTAAAGCTTTTTTTTTTTAAATTTTGTAGGAATATTTTCAGGTTTATCATTGATTTAAAATATACATGCGTACATGCCTATGAACATATACACACAATTTGAATGAATGTATCTGTCTATATTTCTGAGATGAGGTATTATGTACACTATTTACATTATTTGGACTATTGTCCTCATCTTTGTCACCATATTTATCACGTTTCGGCCTTTCAGTATCTGTCTATATTTCTGAGATGAGGTATTATGTACATTATTTACATTATTCAGACTATTGTCCACATCTTTGTTGCCATATTTATCACAAGGTTTTGGCCTTTCAGTATCTGTCTATATTTCTGAGATGAGGTATTATGTACACTACATTACATTATTCGGACTATTGTCCTCATCTTTGTCACCATATTTATTACAACGTTTCGGCCATTGTACACTCCAGCCTTCTTCAGGTGTTTGGAATGTCGAACTTAACCCTTTATTTCGCTCACTCAGGTAGACTGTTCTAGTTCCACATGCCATGTTTTAATGGATGTCATTTATCAGTTCTCTCCTGTTAATTCCTCTCTGAAAGTTCTCCACTGCCTTAACCGAGTATTGAACTCACACTCTTTAGGTCCTGTCACTGGATCTAACTAACGCATTTATCCATTGTGCCGTGTGTCCTTGAGGAATAAAGGGTTCAGTTCGACATTCCAACCACCTGAAGAAGGCCGGAGCGTACAACAGCCGAAACGTTGTAAGAAATATGGTGACAAAGATGAGAACAATAGTCCGAATAATGTAAATTTGAATGAAACTGAAAAGCACATCTGAGCTTTCAGGACTATTTTACCTTTCTGTCTGACAATAACCCCTGGGTAACAGGAAAAGAGTGTAATCATAATGTGAGACTTTTTGAAGTCATTTTTTAATGACTGCCTTTGTTTTTAAATAGAGTATATTTTTTTATTAATTGTAGTATTAGATTTGAAATTTAAATATCTAGTATGGTGACAGTTTCTGAACTGTATGTCGCCCTGGTGAAGGATATACAATAAAAGTACCATAGAATTTACAATGATTCACTGATTTCAATTGCATTTGGTTTTAATTGATTACTGTGTTATTGTGCACACCTTTTCGTTCTTCCTTGAATCACCTGTCTTACTCAAAAACATTCAAGTTTTTCATAGCATGCTCACCACGAGTCATTTTTACCAATCTTCAAAGAATTCTTTATGTTAATTTTCTGCTACAGATTCCTTTCACTCAATTATCACTGACAGTATAATATGAATTACTTCCTCTACTGTTTGACAATGAATGCCTCATCACTCTTGAGAAAATGGAACATGTTTGGACATAATCAAGTACAAATGCTGCTGTTATTCTAGAAATTAAATTGCCACATCTCATATTTGTAATCTCTCTCTTTTTATATAAACTTTCATAGCTCTCCGCAATGTCCCATTCTTTGTAATTCCCAATAACATGTTCTCTTCATAGCTCTTTGGTCATTAGTGATACTCCTATATATATTTGCCGGAAGTAGGTCGTTGGCTGCTTTCTTTTGCTTTTCATTGCTGTGTCTAGTGAGTGTTACATTCTTCTAGCCTTCTTTCCTCATTTTGTCACCCAGAATTCTCAGCTTTTTTTTCTGATTTTTATTAACAGTTTTTTTTTTTTTTTTGTAGTCACTTAAAACATTTACATTTGTCGCATGATTTGTCCATGTTATTCTCAGCAATCTTTAATAGAGACACATTTTCCTTTGGGATGAAATTGTCCTGCATTCAGAAATCCATCAACCTTTTGCTTTGTTTCTAAAGTTATTTTTGACCCCTTCTAGTTTTTGACGAGCATCATTTTCTATTCTTATGCTCTTCCAGATTTCTTATGCTCTTCCAGATTTCTTATGCTCTTCCAGATTTCTCGAGTCATGTTCTTACGTAGCCTCATCTAAAATTGACTAAACCTTAATAATTTGTCAAATTAATTAATTGCACTGAATTAAGAATCATCATTATTTAAAATCAAATTCTTTAAACAGGTGCCCCTTGTCAGCTGCATTGTAAGCCATCAAATGAGGCAGTGTCTGTTCTAAAAAAAGATATGGCGATTGATGGGACGCCCTGTCATCTCCATGGGAGAGACTTGTGCATCAGTGGACGTTGTCAAGTAAGTAACGTTACTATCCAAGCATTGTAAGTATTTCAAGTGCTTAGTTACTAAATTTGTTGTAATTTTATTCAAATTTTTAATATTTAATTAATATTATATTTATTATAAAACCCAGGTTGTGTGTGTGTGTGTCTATCTGTCTGTACGTTTATATATTGGATCGGATTTCCTACATTTTTCAACCGATTTCAACAAAACTTCACAGGACTGTGTAAAATTACCTTGCCGTGGTTCTGACAGTGCAAAAAATTGGAAAAACACAATTGTTTTTTCATGAAATCAATTTGAAAACATGATTAAGAGGCATCGCTGTCGCGAGAATGAAAGGGCGACAACTCATATCGAGTTATACTTATAAAACCCAGGTTGTTTGTTTCTGTGTGTGTGTGCATGTGTGTGTTCGTTCGTTTATATATGGGATCGGATTTCCTACATTTTTCAACCGATTTCAACAAAACTTCACTTTTTTGGGGCAGGTAGTGTTTCTTATTGTCTTGCACACTTTTTTCTTTATTTTTACATTCAGAATGCTTTAAAAATTCCATTTATAAGACAATTGTTCATAATAAAATTCTATTCAATCGATAGACTCATAACGATTGAAAACAATGTTTTTGTTTGAGTTTGGGTTTGACCAATTCATAAAAAAAAAAAAAACTAATTAAGACATGCGTGTCCGTCAACCTTAAACAATAAACTTTGTCAATTTTATTTTTCAGTCTTTATGATGGTCGATACTTGATCTATCTCTTACTGTTACATCCCCAGGCAACGCTGGGCTCTACTGCTAGTTGATAATAAAATTAATTGTAACTAGTTTATTTTTTATAGTCAAAATGTATGTAAACAATGAGTTAACTAAGATTTTTATTTATAAAGTGATGTATCTTTTCCACAAACCGAAACTCCTATTTCCATGGCAAATGTTCAGATGGTCACCATTCTTTAGTTCCACCAGTTAAGGACCATCAAGTAAGTTCCTTTGTTCAATCACGTATGTTGGCGTGGTCAGAAGTTATAACAAACTGAGTAGAAGAGATAAGGAAAGCGAACACAGAATAGGCTGCATTGTAGTTTCACTGAATACCACAAATTGCTACAAAACCAAAAGATTAATCTAATATCACAAGTCATGTTCTTAAATAGCCTCAAATATTGACCTCATGTATGGCACAAAACTTGTTCAGAAACTGTTGGCTGCATAAAAATACTTTCTTAGCAAGTGTAGGTCTCAGTGTGGACCATCCATCTTTGAACATTGTTGAGTGACATTACAGAATCACAAAGAATTGGATCAAATAACAGAAATGACATCACTTGAAGACATTCAAAAACTGGAACAACAGAAATGGACTCACTAAGAAAATAATGACATAATCAAGATGTTGATATTCCACATGACAGCAAACAAAAGATTAGGAAGGAAACCCGATCAATACTGGAAAAGTCAATGAATGGTGAATGTTTCCGAAGTTAAACTTCCTGAGAGAGGGCATAATGAGTGCATGATCATCAATAGAAAAAAAAGCCAGTAGAGCTGAAGAATAAAACTGTAGGGATTACTGCCACATCATATTAAAATGCCAGTTCCCATATGAACACCAAAGTTAAGCAATGGCAAGCTGAATCAGTACTTCAATCAGTGACTGCCTGGGAATACCAGGTGCTGTAAATTTGGATGTGTGGGTGGTGTAATGGATAATGGCTCAGAATTGTTAATGAAAGTGTCAAGTTCCAATTCCCGTTGGGTTCATTATGTTCACTTGTACACAAATACCTTTGGCAATGATATGAATCCACCTCTTCTCCCTCTAGCTATGGGTTAATTAGTGAGACTTGTATACCTAAACCATTATTACCTCAAAAACAAAAAATTTTACAATCTAAAAATATTTTCTGGCTTTAAATAACCTGCAAAAGGTTGATAATCCATAAAAGATGAATCAATAAAAAAAAAGCAATAAAACTGTAGAGGGAGAAGAAATGGATTCATAGGTTATATTGCAAGAAAGTCATCTCTCTATCCTTGGTTGGCAGCCAGATTAAGAGAAAATCAACTTTGGATTGAAAACCATCGAAAGACCAACAGGAAATTATTTCCCTATATTTTTCAAGAACAATCATCTCAATGTACTTTTTAAAGATATTCAAGAAAAATGGACACTGTGGAGACCCATGTTTGCTGATTTCCTGAAAGGACGAAATAAATAAAGTGAAGAATTATTTACACTATTTTTTTTTGGTCTGTAACGGATAATGGACAATGGCCTAATGGATTAAAGTGTTGGTTTGTAAATTTGGTGACATAGTGTTTATGAGTTCAATCCCTGGGTTGGGCAGTATCACTTGCACTTAGTAGAAATGGGTAACAAATAACTGATCAGTACTAAACAAAAACTAGACAATATCCCTAGACATGAGTGGATGGTAGGAGAACAGTCTAACACTGTAGATTAAATAAAGGGTTCAGTTTATAATTTCCTGCAGTTTACCCTGATCGATATGCACTTGATGATGGCCGGAGGGCAAAAAGGCTGAAACGTTGTGATAACAATAAAAATGAGGAAAATAGTATAAATTAATAGTGTAAATAATGATAACTCCTCATCCCAGAAATTCAGGAAAAGAATTGTTAATACATTTTTCCAAGACTTGCATGACATTGCAATCACTGTTTCTTATCTTACAATAATGTTTCACATGACTCGAGATATGATGAGATAGCAGGAAGATCGGATTCATGCCTTTTATCCAAGACATTTGCACATAGTTTTATGTTACTTTCTGTGCTTAGAATTCTAGCCCAGCTCTGATTTCACTGTCTTAGTAGCTACCAACTGCACCGTTTATGCCTTTTTGCAGAAAGCTCATAAATTGAAAAAAGAAAATAGGAAAAATTCTAATTACGACCATTCTCTAAATTCTCTAATACAATAGAATACTGTTACTGTTCTTTTTGGTTTTTCATTTAAATTTATTTAATTTTAAAATGTTCTTTTTCTTTAATTCTGGTGTTTTCCACATTAGCAATAGTTTCAAAATGTTCATTCTTGGCACATAACAAATATGATTTGGATTACACTTCTCCAATATTTTTTCATAAAGTTTTTATACACTTTAACCATAATAATATAAATTTCCACGTCTGAGACAAGAGAAGGGCTTTAAAAATTCATAACAGTAATTATTGGAGTTGGAAGTACATGTGTTTTTTTTTTTTTTTTAAAAAAACGATGATCAGCACAGTGAAAATAAGTTCAGAGTGATTTTTGAAGTCAAGTTGTCATTGTGAACATCAGTTTTTATCAATGCAACAGCTTTAATTTATGAAAATAAATGTTTTAGTGTTTTATCTTTGTTAGTTGAGAACAAATTTTGAAGAAAACATGGCCGTCAATGCGTTCTACTAAAAATGAGAGTTGTCAAAGGAATTATATTAAAATTT